AGAGAGAGAGAGAGAGAGAGAGAGAGAGAGAGAGAGAGAGAGAGCACTGACAGTGCTGCCAGTATGAAGACTCTGACGTTCTGAATTGAACTGCAAAGTTGAACTTTCCTTTTTTTTTCTTTTTCTTTTTTGAAACACACACAGCCCCATCTATTCTGGGGGGCAACAGTCCAGTTGCTTGTCACCGGCAAGTGTGAGTTACAGAAAGAGAGAAACAGAAACTGTGTATCGACCAAGCCCTTGCTGCACTGGTCGCATATAAGGGGGGGGGTTGACAGGTCACCCTCGTTCTGTAGAGGCTGGGCTTTCCACAGGGGTCCAGCTGCTAGCCGGGAAACTAACAAAAAGTACCCAGGCACTCAGCAGGCGGATCCTGAGGAAGGCACAGACACCTGTCCTTCCCCGGTCAAATCACTGCTCAGTCCAAAGAAAGTGCTATGACGGTCCAAATCATTGCCATCCACGGCCAGGGCTGCAAGTACGGCCGTCACAAGTCCCATTTCCAAACTGCACCCTGCGTACAAAAGTCCAGTTGAAGGCAGCGTCAAGACTTTTTGCTTTCGGTGCTGTCGCGTTATTGTGCGACCTGACCCCGAGCGAGAGGGAAGCAAGTCAGGGCAGTAGTAGTCTTCCGTGCCCTGCAACATAGCTGGTAGATGAGAGAGTGCAGCAAAGACATTCAGAGAGGCAGAGCGAGGCCTAGAGGAGGGGGGGCGGGAGAGAGAGAGAGAGAGAGACAGAGAGTGTGTTACATGCTGAGCCTGCACACGGCCCCATTTCAGGGGCCCAACGGTTGCTGCAGAACCCCCAGGCCATAAGCCCTTCAGGCGCGCGCCCTGAAGGCCCACGGCGGCCCTTAGGCCGCAGGATTCGAGTTGAGGCCGCATTCATTTATTTGTTTGCTGCCTTATTTTTGTCTGTTCAGACGTCGTTTCGGATTTGCAGTCCCCAAGTCCATGCCTTGGGCTGGGTAAATCAGGAGGCAGGGCCTTCTGGGCCAGGTGCAGGGTCTGGACGTCTGGTCGGGATCACACCCGAGAGGCCCACGTTTTTGGGAAGGACCAGAGGCACACGGAGGCAAACCGGCCGACCCAGCGCTGCATATAGCTGGTCCACGACCAGGGCAGACACACAGTTTCAGTAGCTCACTTCTTGGGCGACACACTGCTGGACCAGCGCTACAGCACTACGCTGAATAGAGGTAGAGGAGAAGGTAGGCAAAGGGGGCGGAGGCTCTCCATCTCTCCTCCCGCCTGCCTTCTTCTTCTTCTTCTTCTTCTTTCAGAGAGAGAGAGAGAGAGAGGTTACTGGCAGAGGTTACATCGGGCATTGTGCCCAGGATCTGATCCGACACTTCTGTGGCAGATATTGATTGGACATTCGGCAGGGGACTATTTTTGGACTTCGCTATCGCGATCTTGGTCTTCTACCTCGCCTCTTCCCCCATCTCTCATCTGTGGTATCCCCCCCATGTGCGTGTGCAAGGAGGGACATTTCTTCTGTGTGTAATGACCCGCCATAAAACAGACTGAGAACACTGCTGATTTCTGAAGTTCTGCCGATGGAATGGATGCCTTGCTGAGATTCCCGCATTCTGCTGTGTTTTCTAAGTCTGCATGTGTGTGTGCCTGTGGACTTGCGTGCCTGTCTGAGTGCTTGTCAGCATGAATGTGTGTGTGACCCGCAAGGGTACTTGCTTGTTTGGCAGGCCCATAGGGCCGGTACTTACCTGTGGCCGTGGCATTGAGGGTTGCAGCAGGGAAAACCTTTGGCAGGCCCGTAGGGCCTCACATCCTGTCAGTCCCACCCTCTGTTCAACCATCTTTTTTGTACCTACTAACTCTTTTAGTCTAGATCCTTCCCATTCCCGGCTTCCTATCAAGTCCTTAAATCTCGTCTATTTTTTACACCAATCTCCTTTATCCATCCTATCAGTCACACCCTCTGCTCAAATCCTTCCTTTTTTATAACTACTACACTCTTTTAATCTAGTTACTTCCTTATACCCGGCTGCCTATTGTATGCTTAAGTCTCCTCTAATTCTTACTCCTGTCTCCTTTGTCTTTGCTATCACCTCTCTCCTCTTGCCCTTCCCCCACTTCTAATCCAGGCTTTTTCAAA